TTTCCATCACTCTCTGAAATAAGGCAGGAGAGTTCTTGAGCCCCATAGGAAGCCTTCGAAACTGGAAAAGTCCAAGATGACATTTAAAGGCAGTATACTCTTTCGAGTCAGGGTCGATCATGAGCTGGTAAAAAACCACTTCGTAAGTCTAAGGTGGTAAAGAACTTGGGTTTTGCATGACCAAGACTTTCAAGGCACTCATCGGTGGTTGGCAAAGGATGGGCTAATAGCTCTGTGACTTCAAATTCCTGTAGTCGACAACAAATCTGTATTGGTTCTTCTGTTTCTTTGTCACAAGAAAACATGGACTTGCCCAAGGACTCACTGAATCTTCAATAATTTCTTGATCCTTCAAATCATTGATGCATGTTTCAAGTGCAGCTTTTTGTTGAGGGCCTAATCTGTATGATCGTGATCTAATTGGAGCTTGCTCCTGCTTCACTCTAATTTTATGGGTAATAATGTCACATGATCCAACTTTACCATGAAGAGCAAACACATCTGAGTATTCATAAATCAAAGATGTGAGGTCCTGTCGTTGATGTTCGGTTATCTCACTGTTGTCTGGAGGAAGATTGACGAACTGAGAAGCTTTATCTGAACCTTTATCACGATGAGAGATGGGTATAGTTTCATTCGCAACTCTGTTTACACTAAACGTTTGTTCATCCACACCTTCTTCTCCAAGGTAGTACAAACTGTCATCCTTGCTGAGACACACAAACTTTCCTATATAAGTTCCCTTTGAAATTCCAACTGGTTCATCAGACAAATTCACAAGGCGCTGATATACATGATTGTCATGTACATGACATAACACTTTGGCACATAAAACACCTTCAGCATAACCACAATTTCCAGTCTCACTAATGCCTAACACGGTGTTGGGAAGAGGGTTACCTTTAAGCTTCGCAAGAATAACAATCTCTGAGCGTGGAGGGATAGTTACCTTTTCAGCTGCAACAGTCTGTCTACTAGGGTCTATAGACAGTGTATTGTTGCTAAAATCAAGCAGTGCGTTGGGACTTGACAGAAAGTTCAGACCTAAAATAAATTCTGTGTTCAACCCTGGAACAAGGTAAAACTTTACATTTAATGGTGTCTGGCCAAATCTCACCTGCAAAGTAACAGTCCCTTGAATTTCTACCTTTTCATCACTTGCAGTAATTATATATGTTTTGTCAGATTTCTGAATTGGTGCAAAATGAAATAATTTGTTGGCAATGGTTTCATATTTTGCTACACAAAAATCTACACCAGTGTCAAGGAGGGCATAATGTTTGTTCTGACCAATGGAAATTGGGACAAAGTTCTTTAAGACAGGTAAAGAAGTCGTTGATAGCCTAATGGTATCATTGTTTTCACCGAGTCCACCTAGAGCCCCATCGTTCGGCGTGGACTTTGTTAGTTTTCCTGATTAGTATTGCATTGACTTGCGAAATGACCATTCTGTTGGCAACGTCGACAAACTACTTTCGCTATTGGTTTTTTCATGTACTTGGGGCATTTTCTCGCTGTGTGGCCAAGTTCGAGACACAGTTGACACGTTACTGTGGATGAGGTCACGGTATTCACCATGTTTACAGGGCACTGTTCTTGGGGTTTGCCCTTCAGGGACATGATAAGGTCCAGCATGGTTGATAAAGTTTGGTCATGCTTGTTCACCTGGTCTTCTAACTTTTTAAGTTTAAATGAGCTTTGGTCCTGTAGGGTGCTGTTTCCCCCATAAGCGATAGATTCGGCTGCTATTTGAGCCGACTGGATGGCTGCTTGACATGTTGTGGGTTGTTGTTGAATTACAAATGTTCGTAAATGAGGCAAGAGGCCTCTCACAAAGATACGCATCTTTTCATCGTCCGGTTTAGACAGTGTGCTGCATTTGGTTTCAATGGCATTTATATAGTCCTCCAGTGGTTCACACTCACCCATTACTCTTTCAAATAATTGTTTCTCAATCAACCAAGGTTGTTGAGAACTCTTGAAGTTTGTTATAAACCGATGGTAAAGAGTTTTTCTATTTTTCCTGTCATCCTCCAACAGGGTTTTGAACCACTGTACTGCCCTCCCATCCAGCATGAGACGAAAAACATTTGGTGTATCACTGTCAGATAAGCAGGACAGTTGGCGCCATGCCTCGAATTTTTCTAACCACAGTTCAGGGTCTTCTGACACATCACCGGTAAAACAATGCGGTTTCAAATTGCCTACACCAGAAAAGGGCTTAGTTGTTTTAAATGTTTCTATATCTTCATCGCTAATTTCTTGATGTTTAGATTTCCTGGGCGGCATGGTTGGGAAAATGGCGGCAATCAAAGATACACAAGGCAAGGAGGGTTTACTCAAGTGAACAGAGTGAATCAATGTCCTTCATACTGAAATTATCGGGATCGTTGGCATCTCCACCATATATGTGACAGCTGTGTTGCTGTATTGCTTGTGAACACATAAACCTCAACCCGTTTGGGGGAGTTTAACATTCTTCTTTATTCGCAGGGAGTGTTACATGGCGCCAAAAACTCACAATTCACAACAAAACTGGAGTTTTCTCCCTTTTCATCATAAAAAACGGTCAAGTAACATAGTTAACCGAGCAAAACCCGTGTATTCTAGTAAGAAATATACATGACGGGTTGACATATCCGTCACAATAGTGATTCATAAACATAATGATGGTTATATAGTGGGAATCACACTAGGAACTCTGCTGGTGGGACTCTGGGAGAAGCCCATCTCTGGTGTCTCCGCCGTGATGTTGCTGCTCTGAAACCGCCGTACAATATGACTTACTCACTTACTAGGTGAAAGGTGAAATTGGGTTGAACGTCGCGCTGGAGAATATTTCGCTCATATGACGACGTGCATGCGTGTGTATGTGTAGGTGCGGCTGCTTGTACTAGCCCAGACCTAAGCTGGTTTTATAGTGCTAGCCCACTGAGATACCAAGCCGCAGTGAAGCATGAATACCCCACTCAGACACATTATACTGACTCCGAGCCAACCAGTCCTTGTTGTACCCATTAATGCCGAGCGCCAGGCAGGGACCAACAAGTACCATCTTTTAACGTCTTTTGGTATGACGCGGTCGGGGATGGAACCTGCGACCTTTCGCTCTCCGGGCGGACGCTCTAACCGCTACACCACGGAGGCGGTCCACTCACTTACTAACTCAGATATTAGCGCATTAAAGTGACCTAATGTTGTGCTTTGTTTCATACACTTTTATGAACGTGATACACATGTCACAGCGTTCAAGCTTATTCGGGGTATGGGAAGTTCAGTCGTCTCCCGGAATTACGTAGAAAAAAACTCAAGGATTCCCAATTTCAGGGTTCGAATCCAAACTGAAATGCTAGATGATGATTGTGTAATAACTATGAGACACTAGATATTTAAATATCAACAGAATAAGGACCTCATTCTTTTCAACAGACAGTAATTTTAATGCTGTCATTTGACTTCACTAAATCGGGTTATAATATACATGTATGTGGACAAAAGAACGCAGACAAATATGTCGGTTTAAAGTCATGCTCGAGTACCTTGTGTTATTCAATACGTTTTCAACGCACATTTATCCTGGTGCTAACGGCTGTGTTGAACCTAACTTAACTTACACTGAGCAACACATAATGATTTCGAAAATAGAAACATGATCTATGCACAACCTCATGACAAGGCGGGCAACCATGTTTTACAACAGCTTGAGTGTTTCTAGGAAAATATCAATACCGAGGAGCGATGTGTTTGAGGACCTTACACAGTGTTGCTCCGTTCGCTTGAATATCTACAGAGAGCTAGAAGGTTCTAGATTACCTGTAATGTTTAGGTATGCATATATAACAGTGAGCAGCCTTCTACCAATGATAGAGTCAAATGCATCAGCAATTGCCACGAAAACCTCACCTGTGTAAACTATATGTGAGAAAACAATGTCACCCAATGCTTTTTTTTTCATTTATAAATATTGTAGTATGTCAATTAAGATGTCCCTTGAATGTCTGTGTCTTAGGTTTTCTCTAAAAGTTTAAGGTTTTATACTTTGACTGAATGTATCAGGCAATTTACCAATTGACTGAGGGAATCAGGCAATTTACAAATTGACTGAAAATTTCACACATGTATTTTACACATTGACATATATACAGTGGACTCTGTATAATCCGACACTCACTGGGACCGGGAAAAATTGTCGGATTATACAGAGCGTCGGGTTATTCAATGTCTCCTTGCTTGGATACTTTTCAAACAGTACCATACATTGTAACTGTCTCATATCATGAAATTAATGCTCAATAGTTATTTTCTTGGTAAATAAAGGGAAAAAAACAATTCTGTATTTACATGTGCATGTATATCATTAGATTTATTATCTTCAGTACAATATCTTCAAGTTGAAACCACTGACTCATTGATCTCGCCAAATTAATTGATCCCTTTCACAGCCCATTCATCCCATGCTTGACAAAACATACATAGGTCCTCACATTGGCCACTCAGCTTGTAAAAACAAAGGTACGGGCGTTCTCACACTGCTAATTACCTCCCAATTAGCAAGTGCTGGGACCAAAGAGATTACCAGTAACAGGATGTTAGTTGTCAACTGGCCATTGACAGACTGATTGGCTATTTTAGTCCAATATGGGGAGAGGATGTCGGATTGTACAGATTAATAGTGTCATTGGGACCAGAAAATGGTGTCGGAATTCGGAATGTACAGATGTCGGATAATTCAATGTTTAAATGATGACAATATAGAAGAACGCTGCCGGGACCCAAAACATATGTCGGAATTCAGAGAATGTCGGATAATTCAGATATCGGATTATACAGAGTCCACTGTACATACAGTTGCGTCAATGCATATGAGTCATCACATGAAATGCTTCACAGTTTCAAATCTGCAAATGGTTCTTTGTTAAATGTTCAATACTAATGTATTGAAAGTTCCTTAATACATATTATTAGTCTGCACAGATCACACACGCATGTATTATACTTTCAGTGAAAAATATTAGTTACAAGGATTTGTGTTTTCCAGGAACGGCATGCCATATATGGGCTATATGATATGCACCAACAGGTTCGACAGGTAGTATATATGAAGTGTGAGACCCGGGCCAGACAAGGCGTTACCTGGCTCTCTGTGTACAAGCTTGGTGAGTAGGTGCTCACACCTCTCTGATTTAACTAAGATTGTTGGTATTACGTTGGCGCATATGTTTCATCTACATTAGTGCAGTAACATATTATCTGCTTGTACATAGCTTAATTAGTATTATCAGATGAACATACATGTTCATATTTTCCCTCATTACCCTTGATCAACACGTTGATAATGTGATCCGTAAACACTAGCTCAGAAAGACGGAATAATGCAATACAGTCTGTGGAGCTTTCCTATAAATTATGAAATGAGTTTTGTGACTTTTTATATTTCTTGCTTTAATTGAATAAGAAATGTAAACTGACATTATTTCTCTTCATTGTAATTAGTCTCACGGATAAATATGAACATTTTCGATTTTATTACAGCTTGATTTCTGTTGGTCGAACGGGGACGGACGTTTGGAATCTTCAGCTAAAAAGTAAGTACAACATGTATGCTGCTGTGCTTTGTTGTCATGTATTCTAGACAATGTATTGTATTTAGATAGCAACCTTTTCCCAAATAATGAGCTGACATACATACTTAGCCCATTTTATACGTCGGGGAGGTGGGGCGTTCGCTCGTCACAACAAGGCCCGGGTTCGAATCCCCATATGGGTACAATGTGTGAAGCCCATTTCTGGTGTCCGCCGCCGTGATATTGCTGGAGTATTGCTAAAAGCGGCGCAAAACAAAACTCACTCACTCACTCACTTAACACATCCATCTAAATTCACGAACGTAAGAGGCCAAGTGCCTGTCGTGCACATAAAAGTGTCACACAAAGGTAACTATTATTAATTAAGTAATAATGTCGACGAAAATAACCACGCATACTCTTCTTGCACCTGTTTTGCTCGAAAAACTACACTATTTCAGTTTGTGCAGTTTGTTGATACCAAACATTTCTACATCCACTGTTGCATGACAAGTTATGCTCAACTGTTTCATTGTTATCCCCAAAATCAATAGTCGATATTGATTTATATGGCAACATATGAGCTATTCGAGGTGCATGAATATGAAATCATTGGATACAAAATTAATCATTCCAAACGACATTGCAAGAGAAAAGTCAATCTCGCAAATCGGTAATGACAACAGCAGGTTGTGAAAAGGGTAAGCAGGTTCTGCTCTAACTATCGCAGTCATTTTTCATCAATGAAGTGAGGTGGTAAAGGAGGCGTGAAGACACTCTGTTTATGTCATATAATGGGATAGTATCTCATATAAGGTAGACAAGCGATGTGGCGTATTAAGTAAACTCCTATAAATGTCTACCAAAAGTCAGAAAACTGAATAGCATGTGTATGATCTTGTGTGAAATATTGGTACAATTAGCTGGAGCACTAACCACCTTTGTCACTTTCTGTGTATCTTTCACGTGTTTTCAACACATACACTCTTCAAAAAAACAAACGCATAAGCCATTTTTAGAAGAATTTATTGCTTTAGTTTAAGTGCAATTATTTCATGTAATTTCAATGGTAAAATGGTGAAGATTCACACGTCTATAGACAAAGAGTTCGCCCACGCAGCAGTTGCCTTTATTTCTGTTTACTTGAGTCCACAAGATGGCGTGAAAGTAATCACTTAGTGTGGCCACCATTGGCAGCAATTACTGTTCGGCACCGTCTCGGCACAGACTGGATAAGTCGACAAAGTCGCTCTTGCGGAATTCTTCCCCGCTCTTCCTGCACTGCGTTGGCCAGCTGTGGAAGTGTCTGAGGCGTGTTTTGACGTTGACGTCCACGTGGATCGAGTTGATCCCATAGTTCTATTGGGTTTAGATCTGGTGATCGGGAAGGCCATGGCAAGACATTGACGTTAGAATTGGCAAGGTAACGGACCGTGTCGCGTGATGTAATGTGAGGTAACGTTGTCATGCTGTAGCAACTTCCTCTGTAGGTCCATAACCGAAAGCATGTGACGTGCAAGGACTTCGTTGAGGTACTGATTTGCTGGCAAATTCCCATGAGCCACCACTTAATCAGATCTTTTTGTGCTTGGTATCCCATCCCACACCATGACACTAACTCCACCGAATCTGTCGACCTGTCGAATGCAATTTGGGTCATATTTCAGATGATACATAATGTCTTCCATCTTGCCGGAGAAGAAGAAATCCTGAATCAGACTCTCCTTCAGTTTGTAAGGTTCCAGTTCCGGACTCTACGACACCACCGCAAGAGATTGCGCCGATAGGTCTCAAAACGGGCGACAACTGGCCTTCTTGGTTAAATCCCCATTTCACGCAATCGACTCCTGACTATTTGGGCGGAAATTCTTCTCAAACTAAGGAAGCGTTGTGCAGCCTCGACGACTGTGGCAAGACGATGACGCACAAGCAACCCGGATGTAGCGGTCCTGGGCATGGGTGGTAACTCTTGGACGGCCGCTTCTCGAGCGATCTTGAGAGAAATTGGTCTGTAGGAAACGATCCCAAAGGCGAGATATGGTGCTCTGATGCACGTTGAAATGTCGGGCAACTGCAGACTGCGACTCCCCAGCTTCAAGGCGACCCATGGCGATGTTACAATTGGCGGTACTCAGTCGTGGCATGATGGTTTCCTCTTTTCCAAGCAAAAACGAATGACAAAATTAAACACAACGTTTGCCCTTTTTAAGTGATCGATACCGCATGTTTATCCACTTACTTGCACGTGCATTTTGCTTTGCATCTTTTCTTGGTGACGTTTTGGCGAATGACAAAATTAAACACAACGTTTGTCCTTTTTTAGTGATCGATACCGCATGGTTTTTGTCGCTTACTTGCACGTGCATTTTGCTTTGCATCTTTTCTTGATGACGTTTGGGCGAATATTTCTTCGAACGCTTCTAAAACAAGGGGAAAAGTTAAAGTTGCCCCGTTTTGGCGCTGAAGCATATATTTGTGTTGTTTTTGCCGCAGCTACATGAGTCCAATATTCTCAATTTCACCTATGCGTTTCTTTTTGAGTGTTGGTACCACTGGTTGGTGAATCGGAGGCAGCTCAATTAATTGATAAATATATATTCAATGAACTGTTTGCTGTGTGACATCATTAGCTACTGACGTCATTTACAGTAGCATCATTGCATTGTACCTATGTAATTCTGAAAAACAAATCCGTATTTAATGTTATGATCTATTATTACATGGAGATCATCTCATCACATCACGTCTGTTGCGTTTGTATAGTATGCATTTATTAACTCATCTACCTGCTCCTCCATCCATGCTGTGTGACCGCCTCCTTGATGTAGTGGTTTGAGCGTCCGCCCGGAGAGCGGAAGGTCGCAGGTTCGATCCCCGGCCGCGTCTTACCAAAAGACGTCAAAATATGGTAGTTATTGGTCCCTGCCTGGCGCTCGGCATTAATGGGTACAACAAGGAGTGGTCGGCTCAGAGTCAGTATGATGTGTCTGAGTGGGATATTCATGCTAAACTGCGGCATGGTATCTCAGAGAGCTGGCACTATAAAACCAGCTTAGGCCTGCTGTTAGTAGATATTTGTCACAGGCTGATCATACCAGAATCAGTACATGGTTGCACAGTACTATTGTATTACAAAAATATTGCTTAGGTGCCTAAGGTGTCTAGCAGATCAGTTCATTATTTTTGCAAAACATTAATTAGTGTTAAATTATTATTCTAATGTTACGAAGTGACGTCACAAAGCAATGTCATCTTCAAAACACATATGCAGCTATGATACTGGGATGCGAAAGACTTCAGTGACATGTGAAGGTCATTAATGTTATTTGTGAAAAACAAAACGTTTACTTAAGTGCTCTTCTTCTACAGAAGTATTCAGTTTCATGTAGGATGTGGTTGTATCGCCCAGATAACAATGTTACGATATAATTATTAGGGTGACCTATTTTCAGTGAATAGTGCTATATGTTTTCGCCTCGGCACAGCCTATTTAGTTTTATGCTGGAAAGCCTTTGGGAAAAGTTTTGAAGCACTTGCAATTAATAATTAAAGTTAAATATACACTCAAGATCGTTCACTCCCAAATGTATAATGTTCATTAAAACCCAAGACATGTTTGCTGCAGTTTAATGATTTAGCACATATCATACACAGAACACGTAAGTGGTAAGGGTTCAAGAAGGTAAGCGGACTCAAACGGACATTTGTAAAATTCGCTGTTTACATTACATCTGACAAAGTATGAAACTTTCTCTTTGTACTTTGTGTAACTAAAGTTATTGAAAAGACTGTCAGACGTACACAGGAATAGGTTAACCACTTAACTCCCCAGAGCTTGAAGAAAAGAGTGGAAATGTCTTACGGTCCTCATTATGTTTGTGGGAGGCACTGTGTCATAACGTGATGTCATTTTGCAGTAGTTTGGTTATGCTATCACACTGGAAATGTGTGTTACCATGTAATGATTTCTAGAAAGGGCAGTGGGTAGCTGGATCCCATTCAGCAAGTACTTAATAACAGCTCACTGGTTGTAGCTCTCAATTATATATATATACTAGGCACATAAAGAATCTGGGCATACAAAAATGTATAATCTAAATTGATCAAACCTGTGTAGACACATAAGGATTTAAACTCAGAGATTAGTGACATGTACCCAACATGCATGCACGTGCCACGTTCCGTGACGTCAGTGGGTTTGTCCTTGAGACGTGCAATACGTTGCTGCACGTGCATTCCGGGAAAGAGAAACAGAGCAAATGAATGCCACACAATACTGTCACTTTGGAAAGCTCAACCCCTGCCCTTGCGATCGTTCAAAAAATTAAACGGCTATTGAAACGCATAGCATGCCAAGGCTCACGTCTGCACAACGTCATGAGGCCATTGGGATGGTCCGTGGGGGAATGTCTGAACGACAAGTGGCTGCACATTTCCACTGCCACCGGAACACCATTTCTGCACTGGTGATACGCTACCAGAACACAAATGACGTCATCGATCGGCCTCGTTCTGGACGTCCACGTGTAACAACGCCATGACATTTTGATAAGGGTGACCCATGTTCGCCACAGATTTCAGACTGCAGTGATGACAGCCTGAACCATCCCAGGACTTCGCCGTATCCACCCCAACACAGTTCGACAACGTTTACATCATCACGGGATCAGACCACGACGTCCCGCCATATGGCCTATCCTGACAAAACGTCATCGACAAGCTCAGTAATAGATACAATAGCGGTCCGAGATCAAGTCCAACAAAAGCCTCTGTAAAGTGTTATTTCACAAATAAAGCTTTTGTCAGGCCCTTAGATCTCGCCCCCCATTGTCTACTACTTTTAAACCCCCAGTTAACTTCCCGACCCCACGTGGACAATAGTGTCGCTATGACCGCGAATTAGCACTTGACACTATGTCGTGTTGACCTCGATGAAACAGTTTAATGTGAATCGCCTATGATCTCTTTGGTGTTCGTAATAAAGGCTTGCTGGGCTTTTCGTACCCCCTGTTCTATGTACT